CCCCAAAACCCCAAAACCCCAAAACCCCTCCTCCCAAACTCCCCATTGAACTCACTCTACTCCACTCTTAACTACCACACTTATTTCTTCCTTCTATTCTTCTTGCCCTTCTTCTCCACAACAGTGAAGCCATCATCTTCAAGTTTCTTCCTCTCTTCGTCATCCATCTGTTCGTCAGTTTCTTCCTGGCTGGCATCGGGTTGGATTTCTTTCATGTGGGATTCGAAGTTCTTCTGGGCTTCGATTTCGTTCTTGAGTTTTTGGAGGTTGTAGTCTTTTACTTTTTGGTCGAGAGTGCGGAGGTCTTCGAGGGTGGAGAGGTTTTGGGATTTGAGCTGGTCGTAGAGGAGGAAGACGGTGTCGACTATTTCTTTGTGGGATTGATCTGAGGTGGAGAATTCTATGTTGAACTCGTCGGTCATGAATTCGGTGATGTATTCTTCGAGTTCGGATCTGGTTGTGTGGTAGTTAATCATCTGGTCGAAAATTGTTTGTATGAGATAATCTCTTTTCTCTTCTTCAGTTTCACAAGCTATAATTGAAAAGAAACTACTTACGCGAATCAACGATTAAATACTTCTCAATGGCATCTTTCTCTTCTGGCTGGCTATCAAGAGCTCCTTCCTCCATAAGCTCCTTGATCTCAGTATACACATCATCATTTGCTTTAGAGAAGTCGTTCTCCATCGCCGTGGTCAAAGTGCCTAAGAGATGTGAGAGGGAGAAGTTTTATAAGAAAAAGGACTGTAGATTATCTTTTATGCAATTTTTTTAATTATTTACTTGTAAGAGATCTTAGGTATAAATTTTAACCTAAATTTCTAAAATACTGATGAAATTTAATAAGTTATTCTGGGTTCATTAAGCCCCACTAAAGCATCCAAATGCAATATTAACATTCTCAAAATTCTATAACCCATAAAAATCCTTCCTCTTCCCATTACTCACTCCAATTTCAAATTCAAAGTTTGATTCCTTCGGCAAATCTAAGTTTCATTTGTTGAATCTGCTCTTCTAGCTTTTGTTCTATAAAGTTTTCCTTCATAATGTACCTTCATCAGTAGTCTCCATTTGTGAGTGTTTGGGATAAATTATTATTATTCTGCAATTTAGAGCAGGTGAAAAGGGGTTTTGGGGTTTTGGGGTTTTGGGGTTTTGGGG